GGCAGCTGCTAGGTGTTTTTCATCTAAATAAGCCAAACTGCAGGCAGCAGGATAATGAAAGCGAACATATTCTGCCGGCAGATTTCTGCATTTTAAGTTAATTTAGGCGTCAATAAACTGTTTAAGAGGAGTGATCAGAGCGGTCTGTGTCATCAGCGCTGTGTCTATCTCCCTGCCAGCTCCCAGATCAGCTTCTCTGATTGGTTGACGCGGCGCGTCGAGCAGCAAAAATTCAATTTTTCCATCTCGAGCAGCAGTGCGTTTGTGGCGCGTCACGCGCGTCAGATGCTTAAACGCGCCCGACGCGCGTCAACCATTGACTTTGCATGTAAACTCGCTACTTCTGTCGCGCCAGCTGCGTCCAGTGTGAACGCAGCATTATCATGGCGGAACCAGCGTGAAAACAGTGAAAGCCCTTGTCGGAGCAGGCAAGAAAGAGGAAAAGGGCTCCGGACAGAGAGAGGAGTCGTACACGGGTGAACATCGGGCAAGCTTTTTCCGAATGGCGAGAGCTAAAATAAAAAGAAGGCTGCAAGGCTGACGCGGACCTCGCGTTTCTGCTGATGCGATTGTAAGTAACATTGGAATGGTTTCTCTCTCTCTGTGTGCATGTTCATACTTTCACTGTGTTAGTCATTAGTTGCGTTCGCCTGTCTGCTAAGCTCAAAACAACTGCGCCTGGCTTGACGGAGAAACCAGGAGAACAGCTGTGCATATTTACGACAGTGCACTTTTACTTTCGCCCTCTGGGGGGAGCCTCGCTGGAAAGTCAACACTGGTTGCATAGTGTACCTTTAAAGACGTTCTATGTTTTAGAGTTTCAGATCTTCTGGTTATTTTTATTATTTTAAATGAACAATGAAAAATATTTTTTTTTGGTTTAAACAAGATGTTTCCATCTTTAATTGCTTTAGTATTAGTGCTGAAATGATCAGTTTAATCATGATTAATCGATTATTGAAATTATCATCAATTAATTTAGTAATCAATTAATCGTTAACTGAAGTATGGAGACCGTAAAAAAAACATGCCTTTAGCTGACAGAAACCCATTTAGAGCAGTAATTATATTAAAATTGTAAAAAAAAATGTAAAAACCGTTTGCGTTTAAGGTAAAAAATAAATAAAAAAATTCGTCTGTCAGTATGCTCTATCCAGAACTCCTCAAGTTGAAAAGTTTTATTTTCACCTGTTTTAGTGTTGTACAGAATCGTCTTTAAGGAACCTTTGGCTATTAATCGAAAAAAAGAAATCAATCAATTTTCAAAATTGATTAGTTGCAGCTCTATCTATAATATATATTTCAACAGAATCTTATTGGAAAAAAATTGCAATTTGCTGTAATAATTCAAAAACATTTGCAAAACTTGCTTTAAATATTACAAAGAGTATGTGTGAACATCTAGAGATCACTCTTTATAAACTGATAAACGGAAGCAGAAATGCATATATATCTATGATTATTTTGTTGGTTGATTCTTAAGCTCATGGTTGTCAAATATTACATTTATTACATGTTTACCAGCCTTACCACTTATCTGATCTAATTTGTGCTGTCATCCTTATCTCCTCACTGTGTTTAATAGATGGCTGATCCTTAATGATTCAGAGCAATCCAAGCAGCTGCCTGCCTTAAAGCAATGGATAAATCTGACTTTATGCTCTTGTTTACCTTTTTTTTTCTCTCCAAAGCATTAAAATCTTCAATGGATGAATCATTGACATGTGAAAAACTGTTTAAAACAAAAACAAAAAAAAAGAATAACGGAGTGGAAATCGTCCTGCATGCATATGCGCATCCTTACATGGATAGACGCATGCAGATGGAAACTTCCATATAAGGGGGGATGCTATGTACTGTGCAGCAGAGATGATGCATTGTACAAAATGCAGCTAAGCTATAGGAATGTTATTTCAATTAGGAATAATTTTTATCTTTATTTGCTGTTATTTTTCAGCTGTCAGAAAACCATACCACAAGTTTTTACAATGAAAAAAATAATCATAATGGTTGAGAATAAAGGACAAGCATTCAAATCGTCACAGAAGGGTTAATTGATGCAGTGTGTGTTTATAAGGTTTTCAATATGAGGTACAATTTTTTCAGTGACTCTGATCAGGGCTTTTTTGTTAACTGATGAAAAAAGGAAGGGAAAAAATGCTTGAAAGATAGAAGAAAAGATCATCTATTGATGTCAAATGCCCATGTTTGAACCACAATCTATGTTCAAACACTGTTCTAGACTCTGTATAGGTCAGAAAACTGGACTATGAATGGGATCGAAATGAATCAAATTTCCCTCAGCTGTTAGAAACCCAACCAATAAGAATGTACTTGTGCTTTGACATCCACCACTAAAACCAGGTATTTACAAACACCACCCTAAAAGTCACGTAATTAACCTTGATGGCGGTCTGAAAGTAAATGAACTATACTTTTGCTGCTTTAAGGCAATCTCTATTTGTTTAAAAATAAATAATTTCACGGTGTTCTCCGATGGCGCAGTAGCACGACCCATGTATGGAGGGCTTAGGGCTGATTTATACTCAGAAACCAGGTCGTCTGCAAGTGTGTCGCAGTGAACGCAAATGTGCCCCCGCCCCTTCTGCAGACACTCTGCTGCACCCCAACATTGTAGATGACCGGAGGCCTCTGATTAGTCAAGTCTACATCCACTCTACACTATGCGTATTTCCTCTTTGGTACCTTACCAGGTTGTTTTGTTTGTATGACCGGCATTGTGGAAAATGACTCGTGAAGATGGACCAGCTAGAAGAGCGAGGTGCGCATGAACGCTGGGACCATTTTTCCACGTGGATCCACGCTCTTTTCACCCTCATGTCCCTCCGTTGTTGCACAAACTTGCCCCCACTTCCTCACCACCTCGGCCGTATCTAGACCAACAGCTAGTTCATGATTGTCCCTCTTGCGTAGTGGCGTGGAATAAAATTGGGCATAAATCTAAAAAATCTGAGACAAGCTCATTGCGGCACACTGCTACGGGGAGTATAACTTTGATGCGGCCGAGCTGGGTTCGAATCTGACCCGTGATCCTTTGCCGCATGTCTCTACCCCTCTCTCATACCCTCTTTCCTGTTAGCCTACTGTCTAAAAAACAAACCACTAGTGCCATAATAAAACACACAAAAAAGAAAGAATTTCTAAACATTTATTTGATTAAACGTTTCATGCTTATTCTGTATTTGTTAAATTCCCTTTCATTGTGTTTCCAGTCATTCTTCAGCAAAACCCTAACGGGAGACTAGTACCATGACAGCTGGATGGTCCTTTCATTTCATTTGGTTAAATTTGTTTGAAAAAAAACAAAAAAATAAACGTATTTACTTTTTGTCTTAAGTGATGAGTTCTTCCTCTCTGTTTACTAGGAATACTGGTGCAGCCTCAAACAGTATCTGCACATGGTTTTCACTTTGGGTATGAGGCTGATCCGTGCAAAACCTTTTAATTTCTGCTCAGTACGATGGCTGCACATTTTAGTTGAATTAATAGTTTTATTTAGATGTTATAGCAGACCTATGTGGCAAATTCAGGCTTCCAGAAATTGCACCTAAGGCCTAAAAAAGACTTTTAGAAATCCACAAAAAAAAAAAATCCTTAAAAAAAGGAAACTTGGCTTCAAATTTAATGTCAGATAGTGAGAAGGAAGTTGTTGGGTCTTTGTACACAATGTATGTAAATAGGTTCAATTGGAGATTCAGCTCATCTACTTACTGGTGAAAGTCGTCTCTAAATAGTTTTTTTTGCACTGCTTTTGCTATGTATTTTCCTTTTTGTTACATCAATGATGTTCAGAACAAATGGATACAATGCAATTATGAAAAAAACAACCCAATTAGACCCCTTTTGTTTTTTGTTTTTTTGTTTTTTATTCTTCAGGTAGTGTCTTTGAAAAATATGTTTCAGGAAAACAAGGGTGCTCTACTACGCTTGTCCCTGATTCTGTGGCAGATTTCCTTTTTTTAATTTCTCAAATCTGTTTCTTTCTTAAATGTTTTCGTTTTTTTTTTTTTGTCTTGGTTTCTTAGCAGATTCCACTGTTTAACTGCATGCCTCATAATGGCTTATTTTTGCTCGACTGACCGACGGCAGATCGTAGAGATAGACCTCTGTAGTGACAGCCAAGCCTTTTGTCAGCACAAAGCTCCCCATTTCTTCATGAACCCGATGAACCTTTCTCTTTCCGGCCGCTGCCAGAGCCCTCTCATCTGCTGCTCATCTCCGAGCCGACCTTAAACTCCAAACTTAGCTAGGGAGTATATCTTGCTCCCGCCATCTGCCCATAAACTCCCTCACCTATAAAGGAGCAGATGAGAAATACAGTTATAAGCATAACTCATAAACTACACAAACCAGCTGTTTGCAACTGCTTTTTATATTAAACCATGCACTTATTTTTCTCAGCTGGGTTATAGTTTACTATAACCCTTATAGACTTGATGTAGTTTTGCCTACTTTTACCCAGAATGGTCCTATTCTCATATAAAGCAGGAAATGGAGATATGTTGTCAGATTATCTGAGTTATTTTATTATTTGATGTAGCTGCTGAGTAATGTTGTTTTAGTTGAACTTCACAATGCAAGCGACCGTCTAATGTTGCCACATGCCCATCCAGGAGGAGCAAATCCTGCAAAGTCAATGACTAGATGCAATCAGCTGGGTTCCCTTTCATGGAAAACTCTTAACCGATCTGTCTCTGTGATTTGAATAAATAGTCTCCATGAAGTTCCTTGTTGTGGGTTTTGAATTGGCTCTATAAAATAAAATGAATTGAACCGACAATGAATAGATTGTAATTGTTTGTGCCTGGTATGTAATATCATGTTTCCTTCTCTTTTTTTTTAGTTCCCTTAGCTGCTTAGAAGTTAAAATCACTCATATACTGTACACTTATGTTGCCAGGTCAAAAGTCTTTTTTTTTTTTTTTTTTTTTGCTTCATTATTCAAGTTGCTTATTCAGACCCATTTTTTGTTCTCCCAGGAGTTTTATGACCACACAAAGACACTCTGGCATGATGAAGGTGTGCGGGCATGCTGGGAAAGATCCAATGAATATCAACTCATCGACTGCGCCCAGTAGTAAGTCCTTTTGCTGTTTTCCTGCCTCCTCGCACCAACCTTTGCTGCTATGGATGCACACATCTGCACCTTTAAGGATGCATGGCTGACATATGTCTTTATCCTTTATTGTAAATTTTCTGGTCCATTTCTGTGCATTTAGATGTAAATTGCGGTGTGTGATGGTTGAGGTGACAAGAAGTGCATTGGGATTTAGGATAGATGAGAATGCATCAAATGGCCTGTCTTTTCACTGAAAGGGTTGGCTAAAACTTTTTGTCATTAGTTCATTGATTCAAGTAATTTAAATGTATATACTGCAGTTTCTATCTTTTATTTAGTTAATTATAATTCATAGGGTATGTTCACATTTAAATAAAATTGTAAAAAGTCTTTACTTCCAGGATGGTTTTAGTGTTAATCTACTGTCTTTATTTAAGAAACATAAATAATTTCTATTTGATTTTCTTTTCTGCCTTGTAACAGTTCTTCTTGGCAGTTTTTACTGTTGGAAAGGATGTTTGGTTTCCCCTTAAATGGTGAGGGTTGAGCGGCGGAGATAAGTATGTGGGTTGCATCCATGAGAAATCCTCTCAGCCAATTTCTAACAGGCTTTTGGCGGCGGCTGTATGATGGTGTGAGGCCTCATCTCTTTGGCTTGAGGATTGTCATCACTAAAGGCACGTTAGGTTGAGTTCTGCAACCAGTTGTATTTTCACATCCCAACTCTAAGGGACAGAACTTGATCATCCAAGATGTCAGACAGAGCAGGGTTTATTGGGGATTACAGCCAGGATTTTGGAATATAGAGGAAGTCGGTCCTGACCTCAGCACCGCTGGAAACCTTACGTGGTCCACATGGATCTGCTCTTCAGGTTTGAATGACCAGCAACCACAGTGGCTGATGTGCCATATATGCTTGTTGAGGAGTGGGATGCTACCCCACTGTGTGTGTGACCATGCTGGTGACTATGAGCATGGTATGAGGTGGAGGGGGGGGGGGGGGGGGGGGGGGGGGGGGGGGGGAGGCATTTTGGTTGTCAAGAGTTCTTCCCCTAATAGGTGACAGAATTACTAAAGAAAGAGGAGATTTTGCAATTTGGGGGGATAATCCATGTACTCAACTATGCTTCTCAGCCCACCAATGCATGTCTTTATTTATATATTTCTTTAAAATAAGTTTAGGTAAGTTTAGTTTTTTCTGCTAACTGTAGTGCAGACTAACCTTTTACGTGTTTTGCTCCAGTCGCCTTAATTTTTTAACATTTAGGTTAAAGGTAGATGAGGTCCGATTTTAAGAGCTTTCTCATCCAAAACATACAATAACTTCAATAGACTTTTCTATATAAACCTCTTAGCAAACTCATAGTAATTCCATAAAGTGTACATAAACTGTAACATTATATTTCACTTTAGTACTTTTTATCTGGGGGGGAGGGGAAGATCATTTTGAATTTTTTAAAGCTGAACACATTTCCTTAACGCTCCTTTTGTTTTTCAACAGGCAGTGTTGTATGTTAGCTGTTTAATATTATACTTAGAAATCTGCCAGTAGCTTTTTTTTTTTATTGCATGTGTTTGTAATTATCTGGATTATCCATTTGCTATTTATGCTACACTATATTGCCAAAAGTATTTGCTCACCTGCCTTGACTCACATATGAGCTTAAGTGACATCCCGTTCCTAATCCATAGGGTTCAATATGACGTCGGTCCACCCTTTGCAGCTAGAACAGCTTCAACTCTTCTGGGAAGGCTGTCCACAAGGTTTAGGAGTGTGTTTATGGGAATTTTTGACCATTCTTCCAGAAGCGCATTTGTGAGGTCGCACACTGATGTTGGACGAGAATGCCTGGCTCTCAGTCTCCGCTCTAATTCATCCCAAAGGTGTTCTATCGGGTTGAGGTCAGGACTCTGTGCAGGCCAGTCAAGTTCATCCACACCAGACTCTGTCATCCATGTCTTTATGGACCTTGCTTTGTGCACTGGTGCACAGTCATGTTGGAAGAGGAAGGGGCCAGCTCCAAACTGTTCCCACAAAGTTGGGAGCATGGAATTGTCCAAAATGTCTTGGTATGCTGAAGCATTCAGAGTTCCTTTCACTGGAACTAAGGGGCCAAGCCCAGCTCCTGAAAAACAACCCCACACCATAATCCCCCCTCCACCAAACTTTACACTTGGCACAATGCAGTCAGACAAGTACCGTTCTCCTGGCAACCGCCAAACCCAGACCCGTCCATCAGATTGCCAGATGGAGAAGCGCGATTCGTCACTCCAGAGAACGCGTCTCCACTGCTCTAGAGTCCAGTGGCGGCGTGCTTTACACCACCGCATCCGACGCTTTGCATTGCACTTGGTGATGTATGGCTTGGATGCAGCTGCTCGACCATGGAAACCCATTCCATGAAGCTCTCTGCGCACTGTTCTTGAGCTAATCTGAAGGCCACATGAAGTTTGGAGGTCTGTAGTGATTGACTCTGCAGAAAGTTGGCGACCTCTTCGCACTATGCGCGTCAGCATCCGCTGACCCCGCTCCGTCAGTTTACGTGGCCTACCACTTCGTGGCTGAGTTGCTGTCGTTCCCAAACACTTCCATTTTCTTATAATACAGCTGACAGTTGACTGTGGAATATTTAGGAGCGAGGAAATTTCACGACTGGATTTGTTGCACAGGTGGCATCCTATCACAGTTCCACGCTGGAATTCACTGAGCTCCTGAGAGCGACCCATTCTTTCACAAATGTTTGTAAAAACAGTCTGCATGCCTAGGTGCTTGAATTTATACACCTGTGGCCATGGAAGTGATTGGAACACCTGATTCCAATAATTTGGATGGGTGAGCAAATACTTTTGGCAATATAGTGTATATGGTGGCGGCAGTAGCATGCTGCGGGGATGTTTCCCTTCAACGGGAAGATTAAACCTGGTCCAAGTTGATAGTATCACAATACTACAATAAAGTGAGTTAAATCAAAGCAGCACTAGTCTGGTGTCAGAATGACCCATTCAAAGCCCTGACCTGAATCCCATGGAGGGGGTAGGATAAAGCTGGAACGCTTTCTGTTCACCTGTGCTTTGTCTAGTCTGACAAACTTGAAGTGATTTTTAACAAGAAAAATTAGCAAAAGATTCAGTTTCTGGAGTTGTGGCTGTAATTATAGTGAAAAACAATTTTATAATCTATTGATTACATGACAGGCTTTAGCAGCAAACATTTCCACTATATGCTTAGGTCTCCTTCTCACAAATATGAACCACTTTGTGTTGATCAATCTCTCACACAGTCCCAGTTAAATATGTTGAAATTTAAAATGCATACATAATTTTTACATAATTGTTTTTTATTGGCTCATGCTGTAAATATGGAAGTGAAATGATAGGAGAAATAAAATCCTGCAGGATTTTTTTTTTTTTACCATGAGGGGACCAGTTTGTGCAGACAGATGTGTTTATTAAACACTATGCAAAGAGTCCCCTTTGACACTCGGTCATTTTAAGTGCATACTGTAAATGTGCATGAGATGACCCAACATTTGCCCTAATGCATTTCTTTTTGTTGACACTAAATTGAATTTGTATTCTAGTTTTTATAATAAATGATTCCAAAATAATTCTAAAGGTTTTAAGGTTCTCAGTCTGAATAAAAAAAGGCAAAAGAACAAACAAGAATACAATTTAGATAAATTAATATGGTCTTTCTATTAACCAAAAGCATTAGCATAAATAAGACAGACAGTAAAATATTAAGTAATGAGACTTCTTACATTTTTTATTTATCGTTGTTTTTAAAAGGGACTATTTCTGATCAGGAAAAATCTTGTGAAGGCTTTTGATTAAAAAAAATTTGTAGTTATGAACTTTTTAGAAAGTGACTTTCTTGTATTTAGCTTATAATCCCTCCACAGGCAGACAGCTAAAACCCCCAATATTTCTGTCTTAATTAAGGTTTTTAAATATTGTTTATTCCAGTTAATAAATATAGAAAAGGATAAATTCTTCTTAGGTTTAGAGAACAGTAGAGCGCTACGTCTGCGGCAGCTTTTTGTCACGGTGTTGAATTTTCCTCCTCCTCTCCGTCCTGTCCTCCCTGCTGTTTGTTGCATGTGGCCGTGTTCCTGCAGGACGGAAAATGGACAGGATTGTGTGACTTGTGTGGATGTAGGGAGGCGTTGAAATTAGCTCTGTGTAACTGTACGTAGCTCAGGTGCTTTTGGAAGATGTTCAGGTGAAGCAGACGTGGAGCAGAAGGAGAGGGAAATGTGGAGACGTTTGAGGCGAACACATTTGGACAGAAACTTTAAGCTGTAGTTTCTGTCGTGGTTCTCTTATCAAAGTTTATTTCCTCCAGGTTTTTTTTTTTTCTCAGCTTTTAGATGTAAATCTTGCTTTTTTTATTTGCTTATATGTTCGTTTTGCAAAAAAAAAAAAAAAATCAGTTTCTGTCCCCGACTTCTGCATTTTCTTTTTCCTACTTTTAATCTTTTTTTTTTTTTCCAAACTTTATCTTTAATTACTCTTTTCTCTTATGTCTGTTTTTGTGTTGCACATTTGGATTTCCCTCATGCTACATGTCTGATTTCCATTTTTCCCCCATCTTTGTTCCTCTCCGCTCTTCTTAATTTTCAGCTATATATTAAATGTTTTTGTTGTTTTTCTTTCCCCTTCATACATCTTGATCTCGTTTTTTCTATTTTGTGTCCCAGCTTTCTCTCTAACCCCCTCCATTCCAGACATGTCTCTCTCTGTATCTCTTTGTTTCCCTCCTTATTTCCTCCCTTCTTTCTCCGTGTTCTTTCTTCTGCTCCTCTCCCTCTCTTGTAGTGTGGTCTTCTTCCTACTTTTCCTCCTTCTTTCTGTCTCTATCTCTTCTCCCTCTCTTGTCTCTCTCCAGCTGCACAGGATTTGGAGCCGTTTTCTATTTTTAGAGCCTGTGGTTCTGTCACCATGACAACCAAGCTGGAGGCCAGGGCGCCAGGGAGCTATTTTTGGAGCAGCGCTGTAATGTCAGACACAGCCTTCTCTCTCCTTTCTTTCCTCGTCTTTCTCCAACTCTCCCTCTCACAGCATACAGCGTGTGTTTGTGTTAGAGAGAGAATAGGAGTCGGCTAGTGAAGCCCTCGGTTGCGACGCCTGGCAGGTCAAGGCGTTAATGTACAAAGAGGGTGTAAAGCCCCCAGAATTGCTCCTTTCAGTGGGCCGTAGTCTTTTCTCTGCACTCCTTAAGGAAGTCCCGGGACCGGACTTCTCCTCTGCAAATGTGCATATATTTTCTTAAGCACACAGAGTTGAAAAATATCGCTTTTAGTTTTCCATAAGTCAGACTTTATTTGAATTTTTAAGGAAACTTGATTTATTAATGCATTACTTGTGTTCAAACTTTTAATAGCAAATAGCATAGTAAAAAAAAGATTACATTTAACAGCTTACAATGAAATGACCTCGTTAAATAGTTGTTAATTTATTAGCATTTTAAAGTTTTAGTTTTACAAAGGAAAAAGCATTATTGTTTATCTAAGAGATTTATTATCTTTCCTTTTTAATTTTCGCTGCGATTCTCATTTGATATATTAAATTTAAAGAAAACAATTTTTAGCTTTTTTTTTTTAAAGATATGAACACATTCGATTTTGTTGGATTCAAAACATCTGATCTTATGTTTTATTTAATTTGGTTCACAGTGAACAAACATGTAAACATCAAACCATTAAAGAAACCACAAGACAGAGATAAATGCAGACAAACTCGGCTCATTCTAGTTGAAGTGAATGAAGACGCACGCAAAGCTTTTGTTTTTACAAGGAAATTCTGCAAATATTTAGGCGATGACTTGTTAAAGTTGCAAAAATCAAGAATATGTCAGTAGTTTGGCGGCAGATGTTAAAAAGGAAGCTTTTTAGGAACGCTGTCCTACTGCTAACCTGCTAGTGTGTGAGTCCGCCTGTTTCTCACACAGCTGAACCGAGCAGCAGCTCTGATCCGGGGCAACGTTTTCCAGATGTTCTGCGTTTGTCTCGCACTGAATCATGCCCTCTAAAACGTCTCATAAAGTAACATTAAAATCAGTTTTAAAAAGGGAATATTTATATATTTTCTTTTAGGATTTTTCTTTAAATAATTAATCAGACCAGCTTGGGCTTGCAAGTTATTTGATTTAAAATTGAGATTTTCTTTATGTGTAAATTTAGAAAAACATTTTTTTCAAACTTTTGTATGAAATCTACAAGCTGGCCTACAAATCTAATGGTCCTGATCTTTCAGTAATCCTGAGTCTTAAATGTTCTGCTTTAGTGGGTTAAATGCATTGTGGAAGCGTTATCAGCTGCTGGTGCTCCTCAGCACGTAAAGATCTCATGATTTTAGCCAAATGTGGAAGTAAAAAAAAAAAAAGAAAAACAGAACTTGAAAATGCAGAGTGGATACAATCACATGTCGCTGGAAATATTTTCAGTGTCCCTTCCTAGTTACCGTCTTTTAAGAGATAGTTTAAAATGAAAGGGAAAATACTAGAGAGACGGTTTCCTTTTTTTTCTTGGAATTATTCAAACCTTTTTTTTTTTGCTTCTATTTTTATGACTGTAGCAAAAACACAGTGTCCCAATAAAGAAAAAGGTCACATGGAACATTTAAAAATAGGTGAGTCCTTTTAAAATTAAACTTTCTATCAAACCATCCCTTTACAGCTGTTTAACCTTTAAATAAGGAACAAAATGATACAAAAAAAACCCAGACTTTATCTTTTCTTGTAAATACTGAGCTATTTTCACTCTGCAGACGAGTGTCCTGTGTGTATTTCCACGGTTTAAGTCAGCCTGTCTGCTACCCCAGAATAACCCTGGCAGGTTATACATAACACCGCAGACCTCTCTGTTACTGGGGCAGCCACTTTTATTCAGTTCAACTTACTAGACACGGTTATTATTGGCACTTCTCCTATTAATAGGCAGAACTGCTAAAAACTGAGCGGTGTGTTTGTGCTAGGCGTGCCGTCGCCTCAGACCAGAGCCGCGTATAAACATGAGTTTGGCAAGGGAAGCCATGTTAACTCTGTCATGATTAGAGCTGCAGCTTTCAGGTTCTGTCACATCCAGCTTATTTATGTAGCTGGGAGCTCTGTAGGGGACTGTTCGGGGAAGGCCAAGTTAAATGATTGCGGAGGATTAGGCAGTGGATGTGAGGCGGCCTGGCTCCAAACGGTTCTCCACTTCTGTTCTGCGGGAACAGCTGAGCCTCTTATTTCAGCAAAAAGCCGATGGTACCTGACTGGTTGCTTGATAAGCAGCTTCTGTGCATGTTTCGTACAGAGAAATGCACATTTGTTCTGCCTTTGCAGACTCTCTGTCATCCGAGTCATGACAACTACAGCAGGCTTAAATCTTAGGACTAGAGCAGACTTAGTTTTTTTTCAAATGTTTCTACACTGATCTAGCAATCTTTATCAACTCTGGAGGCTAACAGTTGAGCAACCTGGAGTGCTCTGACGAGGTTAGGACTCTTTTTGTTAAAAAACAGCAGCTCCCAAACTCCTAGTTGCTCAACAGTGAGATTCCAGAATTGACAAAGACTCCTGGATTGTTGTTGAATCTATTCAGAAAAACTAAGCAAAAGTCTGGTTGCCTTCTTTGAGCCTGTTGTTGTATCTCCATTCGCCCTCTTTCTGAACTCTTCTTCCCTTCGTTGGTCCAGAAAGCGTCCAGTACTTCAGCTTCCACATTCCCACCCCCTCCCGCTCTGCCTGGTGGGTTACCTGCAGCTCTAATGTCACATTTCACCCCTGACTGCCACATTCCTTCTTTTCCCAGTGGGAGCTTACATGCCTGTTCTCCAGGAGGCGGCTTCATTCAGGGGGAAAATCACCAAATTTGCCTGTTTTGGTTTTTGTTTTACAAAAGAAAAATCAATATTTCATCCTGACATTTTTTTTTATTGGCAATTCTTGCTTTTTTCTATTTGTTTCTGGTGAGTAACTTTTTACTACAGAAACTTTTTTCAAATAATTTATATTCTACACATTAATACAATTTTGGTCAGTCTGCCTTTTTGAAGTTTTGTTTATTTTTTTAAATGTAAAAGACAAAAAAAAAGTATCTAAAAAATATTTGGATTATTTAGGGAGCAGCACAAACTTAAACTAAATCTTACTGAACAGCACAGTGTTGAATTTGAATCTTAGTTTTTGTTGCACAGCGCCCTGATTTAGCTGCTGGCACTGAACTCTGGTTTTCTGTATTACCTGCAGTTTCTGTTTTTTGTTTTTTTTTCTTTTTTCAAAATTTCTAATTCTTTTTTTAAACTACTTAAATGTGCAAAAACAGAATAAAAAAAAATGTATTTTGTCAACTATTCAATGTAACAAACTTCAACTGTGAAATAATAAAATACAGGATAACACCCTTATTTGTGCGTTAGAGTTGTCAGACTTGATAAATTCAAAATACATTTAAAAATATATATATTGCTGTTTAAACAGGTTCTTAATAGTTATTTCCAAAAGAATTTCAACTGGAGATGCACTGTTCGGGGTTTTTTGTCAGCATAGATTTTGAACTTAACAATTACTTTTTTTTATGACAATAAAACACAAAAGAAAAAAAGATTTTTTTTAGCTTAAAGACTAAAAATTCTAAGAGTTTTCACCTTTGATACCTTAAATAGGCAAGTAAAATCACAAATACAGTTGTTTATTCTTTGAGGCCTGAAGTTGTCCAAATGATTTTATCTTTTGGTTTTGTTTTTAGTTCATATCTGCTGTGCCTTTTTTTGTCATCCATTAATATGTGTATTTAAAGCCTCTTTCCTAAGATCCCGGTTTGTTCAGACCGGTTCATCAAATTTGACGTTTAAACTTGGAAATGAAATTAGTCGCTCGTGTGCTGAATTATACCCTCTGTGGAAAAAATGTTAAATGGTCTTGAAGATGAAGTGTGGCAGTACACAGTTCGGTAGCATACCTCTCTATGTAAACTCAAGACGTCTTGCTAATTTATACCCATAAACACGTCTGACAGCCATTGTACTTCAAATCTATTTTCCAAACTTTCGACTTTATTTACTTTATTTCTTTTATAGATTGTGTAACTAGGCAGTTCTTGAGATACTCAAGATTTTTTTTAACCTTAGATATGTGATAAGTATGTACTCTTTGCTGCAGACTCTCGTGTTGATTGATTCTCTTCGCTGTGATTTCTTTTTTTTTTTGTAGAAGAGGGAGTTGTTGCCACAGTAGTTTAAAGATTTCCTCTCAGTGTATCTGAACTGACCTCAGTGTTTCCTCACTCCCTCATCAGCCCTGACTCGATGGAGCAAACACCTCAAAGCAGCTGACTCTGATTCGGTCATCCTGAAAGCATGAGAGCGCCTCGCACACCTTGAAAAGCAGCTGCACTATCACTCAGTGCAGCAAAACAATTAACATGCCTATGGGTGGGCAGTCTGGAAAGCTGAACGCACTGTGGGCCTGCATACCCACCCACGCACATACACATAGCCAAATCCACACACACCGATCCACACTCCTCCTCCTGTACTCCTGTACTACTACAGCAGCTCCATTGACGAGGCTCTTCTGGTCTGACAGAGCAAACGGCTGCTGGTGACTCAGACTGGCTGCCTCTGATCTCACAGCGACTTCAAACACAACGCCCCCTTGTGGTTGTTCAGTCCCAGCCGCTCCGGCCCTCCTCATGCTTTCACTATTGACTGTACACAGACTTTATATGTTGCTAGTCTGGACTGCTCACACATTAGCAGGACATGCGGGGAATTGTAATCATAAAAACAGTCCCGACTGCCTTCATTGGTGTGTAGGTTTGTAGCAAAGCTCAGTTCTGAACATTTTCTTTTTTTTTTTTATCTTCTGTTTGCAGCTTCTTAGACCGGATTGATGTGGTGAGGCAGAATGACTACACACCCACTGATCAGGTAACAGAAAACCACCAGATTGACATCATCAATTAGACACTTAATTCAAAGAAATCCCTTACAAAAGTTATCTAAATAAAATAACGACTTCCCCTTATTGATCACACCTTTGTTTATTGCTCATTTTGGTGAGAATGCATGTTTTTTTGTTCCTCCCTGCAGATATCTTTTGGTTTTTCCTTTTTTGTCGCACTTAAATTTTCCTGATCATTAAACAAATCTTGATATCTAACAAGACAACCTGAGAAATATTAAATTAATTGATTAAGTTTATTAAAAGAGAAGTTAATCCAAGACAACCTGATCATATAAGAAAATCATTAATGAAATGTTATTAACTGCATTTTTTATTTCACTTTCACATGTCACGCCCAGACCTGTTCACTTGCAGACGAGAAATAAAGTTTTTGCCATCTTTGAGCTACTTATTATTCACAAATGAGGAAAACATCAACCTTTCAGGGTGTGATCAGATTACAAAGAATTACTCCAATAATTCACTGTCAGCCCATTCAGTTTGTCTCAAAAGAACCCAGGGAGAACTATAATTCAACAATAAGAACAATAACTGGGCTCAAATGGCATCCATTAGGATGCAATGGTGACATCCTGAACAAAGAAAAGGTAAAATAAAAACAACCTAAAAAGCACTCAGTATACCTGGGTAAATATTATGTGTAATACTGAGAAAAAGTGGACTTTTTTGCACGGTGTGAATCCTACTACATTAGGTATAAAACTATTACCCCGTTTACATTACCCTTTTGAAACTGTACCAAGAACGGTCTGAGCACGGTAACCAAGATATAGGAGTGTAAATGGAACGCAACTGAACTGGACCGTGCCAGACATCACCTAACCGCGCTAAATCTATTACTAGTTCAGCTATTAGGGCTAGGCACGGTTCAGTTGTGGCTCGGTTCTCTAGTAACAAAGAGCGCATGAGCAGACCGCGTCATTTCCTGTTTACAGTCAGCTGACTCATTTTGCGGGTTTTCCGGCATTTCCAGCTTTGCAATTTACAGATCTCTTCACCTGTTCACAACATGAACTTCTTCTCAGCCTATTAACAGTAAGTGGCATCAAAAGAGGGGGGGTGCGACCTGGGATGATGCCGAGACCGAGGCTTTCATTGAAATTTGGGTGGAGGACGCTATCCAGCACTTAAGTTCCTGAATGTTACGGGCCCCGCCATTTTTGTTGGCGTAATCCCCGCCTTGAGAGCTGTAGTATCGTGGATCGCCGATAGGAGCCGAGGAACCATGCTAGCTTAATGTGTAAACGGTCGTAAGCAACCGAGCTCTGCATGTTTAACTGATCCAAGCCCGGCACAGCTCCATTTCCGAGGGTTAGTGTAAATGGGTCATAACACAGCAGTTCAGAAAAAGACAGTCGTACCAAATCTGATCTTGGGAGTATGATGGCTTAAAGTCTAGACTTAATTCAGACTTAAAGCTAAACATCATTTGCCACCGATTATGTTTAAATTTAGGGGGCAGTGAGTATTTTATATAGGGTCGGTTTTTGTGTGGATAAATTATTTAAGAAATGGCTTCTGCATATGCTTGTTTCTTTCATTTCTTTAAATTAAATGAAACATTCATGTGTGGCTAAAAAAGCTCGGACAGTAGGAATGTATAACAGGACAGGGTTTCCAGTGTCGTATATAGCTCAGTTACATGAAAAACACTGCAGTAAACTTTAACCCAGATGAAGTTCTACCAGCGGTTTAGTGCAGTAAAAACATTTATATACAAATATACCCATTTATCAGTGAGGTTGGAGTGTCTTCCTCTTAAACAACACCTTTGACTGCGAGGGGTTCCCTGAGCGCCTTTCATTGAGGGACATCCAGCCTATAACTAGAATTCTGGAACCCTTCAGCATGTTTTTATATCAATTCTACCCAATTAATTCCACAATTAGACCATTAAAAGAACTTGGTCTGGGGGTAGCACAGATTATTCCAGGGTCACTGACAGGGGTGTAAATCACACCCATCTTGGCGAGTCGATTCAGTATTGATTTCCTGACCCAACCATTCGATTATTTTTGATACTCAAGAATACACTACGATACGATACGACTTGATTGTTCTTTGTTTTTTTGTTTTTTTTACCTTACTGGCTAGACAATATTTCAATTTCAAAATAAATAAATAAAAGCTGTATTATCATTATGTATTTTATTTGAGAAACAACAGCAAATAACAGAAGCAGCAAAGTTGTTCCAGGAGCAAATAGATAAAAAGATGAAACCATGAATCGATACTCTTGCGGACGTGTCGATGCATCGGATCGCCGCTTATTATTTAGACCCTTAGTCACTGAGGGTGGGGTGGAAGAAGATTGTTACAATGGGAACAGCAGAAAAGGCTGTGATTCAGGTTTGATATGTTCTTTTGATCTTTTTTGTCACAGAAAGTGACAAAAAATCAAAATAAACAGTTTGACATAGTTTGATTTCAAAGTAGTTTGTTATCACTGTCCTTCCAGCTAGCTGGACCTCGCTGGTGGGAACCACTGAAATCAGATATACAGTTGGGATGAAAAAAAATGAAAATAATTATTTAAAAGGTAAATCAGTTGAACAGAAACGGAACAGAAACTTTTAGTTCACTATTTCATTTTTTTTTTACCCAGACTTTAATCAGAATCCATTGTCCTATTAATTATGTTACCATCCATTGATGCTTTTCGATACAAATCCTTGAGTTGAATAAAGCCACACAGCTTTAGGCTAATTTTTTGTTCAAAATGGAAAAGGAATCGTTGGAAAAGCACGTTTTCCTCCAGATCTGAAGATACAAGAGGAAGTTTTCTGTTTGCGCTTCACTCATTTCCACTTCCTTCTCTTTCAGGACCTCTTGAGATGCAGAGTTCTGACATCTGGGATCTTTGAAACCAAGTTTCAAATTGACAAAGTTAATTTTCAGTAAGCAACAGACCAAACTCCTCACAAATGAATGAAGTTAAAGTCACAATAAATTACTCAAGTGTATTTTAAGTTGTTGTCAAAATCAATTTCCTTGTGTTTTATTTTCATTATAAAAGTTGTCAGAATAAATTTTTTTCCCTGTACTTTTAGCATTAAATAAAATTTTAACTGTCTTTGTGTCCCAGTATGTTCGACGTTGGCGGTCAGAGGGATGAACGGCGAAAATGGATCCAATGTTTTAACGGTTTGATGACACTTTTAATACTTTAAGTAGAAGAAAAATGGATTATAAAAAAAATTTAATAATTTTCAATTTGTAATAAATTGTGTTTTACAGTTTGAATGTATGCAAGTACTTATATCTGTGTTTCTGCCACAAATTTGTCTTGGAAATCATAGTTGGGGAAAGAAAAAAAAAAACCCTATTCTGAGGATGCCATGTTTATGTGTGTGTTACAGATGTGACGGCCATTATCTTTGTGGTGGCGAGCAGCAGCTACAACATGGTGATCAGAGAAGACAATCAGACCAACAGACTACAGGAAGCTCTCAACCTGTTTAAAAACATTTGGAACAACAGGTCCAGCAGTTTATTTTTTAGCTTTTTTTACACCATTGATTACCAACGGTGGGGTCGAATATGTTGGTTGTTGGTGCTGTTTCTCCGGTTAATATTTTTTATTTTTAGTCATTTTTGTATTCCGACCAATACTTTGGGTTTTTTGAGATGTTTATGATATTATTTTATGAGTCGGAAGCCAAAAAACATGCAATTCTCTTTTCCAAGTCGAGCCAGAGATTTTGTCAAAGCAATTAGATATTAGTTCATTATTTCTATAAAAATATCTAACGCCTGAATTTGTAACTTCACTCCCCAGGTGGTTACGGACCATCTCTGTTATCCTTTTCCTGAACAAACAGGACCTTCTAGCTGAGAAAGTTTTGGCAGGAAAGTCTAAAATTGAGGAGTACTTCCCAGAGTTTGCACGCTACACTACGCCTGACGATGGTAAGTTCCACTGAGGTGAAGCTGAACGGATATTTTATGTAAGACTTCAGATTGATGAATTTCTCCAGGGGATGAGTAAAACATTTGCTAAGCTCTGATCGAATGATATTCTACCTGGAAATGTAAATAAATATATACCGTAAATTCTCTAATATAGGCCCGAGCCTTTATTTCACTCAAGTGCATCACGGTCTAGGCCTTTATTGGAAGGAGGCCAGAATTAGAGACAGGCCTCTATTGCTATTTGAGCAAAACAGACTACCAGTGGAATGAATAAAAAATGAGATTTTGTGTCTATTTGAACCTATAAAACACTAGGTTCATTTATTGAACAAGAACAGTTACCATAACGGTATACAGAAATTTAACAACAAATAGCCTACCTGTAATTCAGGCTAAATTCCAGTGGAAAAAAACGTAGCAAACATACCAGTAGTGCAACTAGTGCAATGTAAACACTTAACCATACATGGTGATAATTAGGCTGTTTTATAACAAAAAGCAACTTACAGGTTTAGACACCTCCTCGCTCACTCAAATTGTCTCGCTTGGTGTGAAGTAAAAAAAAAAAAAATCCTCCAACTCTGTTTAATCCTCCTCCTCAGTTTCCTCCTCCTCAGTTTCCTCCTCCTCTTCATCTCTCCCTGTATTCTCCTCATCACTCGCGCCTAACCCTCTTCGTCCTCCTCATGTTTTGCTGCGCAGACGGGCAGCAGTCAGGGCCTGTCGTCCAGCAGCGCAGGGCTGTGGTACTTGTATGTTACTACCACAAGTATAATGTTGAGGTATGCCCAGAAAAAACGTTTATAGCCCCGGCCTGTATGAGAGACCGGCCATTATTTACCTCCGCCATCAGCGAGACAGGCCATTATTAGAGACCCGGCCACTAATGGAATACAGGCCAATATTAGAGAATTTACGATAAAAGTCTAATTTTATTGATTAATAAAATCTTAACAACCAAAGCTATTAATCAATTGAATGTATGGGCTGTCGTTGTGTGAAAAGTTGACCAGATATCCTTCTTTTACAGCAATACCAGAACTGGGGGAGGATCCCAGAGTGACCAGAGCAAAGTACTTCATACGGGATGAGTTTTTGGTCGGTACAAAAGCTGTTATTCCCTCAAATTATTATTATTTTTTTCATTTTCAACGACCAATTACTAATACGGTAAAGAACATGTATAATAAATTGTATGTTTATTGTTCTAATATAAAAAAGGTTCCCGTATACAAAGAATCCCATTTTATCCCCATTAAATTTAAAAGTTCTTAATTACTTATTGCAGAGGTCTCAGATTAGTGGACCTGCTGGATAATCCAGACCGAACCTGATTTAAAACATTTATAAATTACCGCATGTTGTCCGACGACAGTGTCTAACTTCAATTGCGCTGCTTCTCCTGTTAATATGGTAAAGCCTTCCGGAGCTTCCGGGACCAGGCTACACGTGATACAAATTAGCCAATGAGCTGCTGTCAGTCTGGATCACTGCGGCGAGCCACTTTTAGACACAGCAATTAACCTTTGGCAAGCCGGGCAATGAGATAAAGAAAGCATAGAAAGAAAGTGTGGACTGCTGGAAGAAGCGCGGTGACCTAGTGTAAAAAAAGTGAAATGGCGTGCGCAAAGATGACCCTGCACATTTTGAGTATGTTTGGCTCAACCTACTGCTGTGAAGCAGGATTCTCCACCATGACCAGAATCAACAATAAATATCGATCCAGGCTCAAAATGAGCACCTTGATTATGTGGTTGAGAATGGCTTTGTCTCCATTCAAACCCAGGTTTAAAGCCTTGCAGGGCAGCATAAAGCCCACTGCTCTCATTAAGCCATAAAATAGAAAAAATAACTAACGGTCAGTTCAGGTGTTTTATGAATTATGTGAATCAGGAAATTGTCTATACACCAAACTGAACGATTGTTGTTCTCTACTTCAAAAACAATTAAGATTTTAAAATGAGAAAATTTTCTTTTTTTTATTTATTTAAAAGTTCAATGTATAACATGGATGCATAAAAAACCTCATTTTATTTCAGTGTTAAAATGCTGTTTAAACTAATGTATTATGATTAAAAATGTCTCCAGACCTTTACTGGTTGATTATTTTATTTATCCGCTGATTTTTAATTGGTTACCCCTGACTTACTGTATTTAAAAAACAGATTGAATCAAGAGATGAGTGAAAATAACTTTGATCTTTATCTTGAACGTTTTTATTTTTCAACTGTTCATATGAAGGCCATGCGTATATTGAGTTTTTTTGCAGATTCCCACTTAACGCATACTCCATTTCATTAAGGCTTTTATACCACTTTAGTGAACTATTTTCCATTTTAAATATAGATACATACTACAATACTTTCTACTTATATGCTATACCTTATAAAAATAGGATAAAACTAATTAAAATAAGCTAATATCTCACAATTCTGTAAGCAACAATTATTTTTTCAGATAATATAAAATAAAACAAAAATGGTAATTATAGAGAAACAGATTTATATGTTCTTCTTAAGTGATTTAAATTGTTATATTTTGTTTTCCCACAAAAAGAGCTGCATAAACTGTTTATGTGGTAAACTGAGCATAGCTAACCTGTTGTCTCGTCCCTGTTTCTTCAGAGGATCAGCACAGCCAGCGGGGACGGACGACATTACTGCTACCCGCATTTCACCTGCGCCGTCGACACGGAAAACATCCGGCGCGTCTTCAGTGACTGTCGGGACATCATACAGAGGATGCACCTGCGGCAGTACGAGCTCCTGTGATGCGCGGCTTCATCAGGTCCACCGTACTTAACCCAACAACCACCCTCCTCACCACGAACCAGTTAGCCCGTCGCCTCTTCACTCTGACAGAATTCACCTAACATCCAATCCGTTTGAACTCTCCTCCACTTGATTCTTCTGGTAATACAAACTCCTTAACCTCGGAAAAACTGAGAAGACTTTATCATGAGTGGTCAGCTTGGACTGCACTCCCTCAGTCTGGATGTTTTCTCTCATTTATACGACCACCTGCTCACAGGTACACATGCACTACAGATTGTGACATTCTGACTGTTGAAAAACCGCCTAATCATTGCCCCCTCCAGTGTCCTGCACCAACAGTTAGCAGGGAGGGGGGGATCTGTTCACACACTCTGAGATGCAGGAGTTTATTCACCGCGTGCTGAAGAGAAGAGATGGACCCGGATGGTGGAAACAGAGGAGCAACTGTCAGCTGTTTTTTTTTTTGTTTTTTTTTTCCTTTTCTCTCGCTGTGCCCCGGAATGGACGGACTAATTGATTAATGGCTGCTTGGGGACATGAGCAAGACTCTGAGATGAAGTCTCATGATCTGCTCTTCAAGAAACCAATCAAGATAACACAGACGGAAAACAAGCAAACAAAAAAACAAAAAAAAAACATACAAGAATCATGCTTACCAGTGAACTTAATGCAGTGCAAAAAAATAAAATAAAAAATCCAAGCTATATATATAGATATTTATATATGTGTGTATATAAATATGTATATATATATATATATAAATATATATAAATACATATAAATATTATATATTCCTGTAATAACACAATTGGAGTTTTAAGTTTTTGTTAGTTTTTACCCCATGTTGTTTGTCTGTGTACACAGTGTGTGAGATCTGCCTTTGTGCACCATGTAACCCCTGCACCACACACACACACTCATACACACAGACCGTACTCTACATCCCTGACCCTATTTTACCCCTGCTGCTATCTGACGACTATTTAACGTGAAAAATAAAGAAAAGGTTTGACTTACCGGAGATAAACAGCAACAGGAAAGCATGAAGATCCAGATTTGCAGAGACTGGTTGCAACATTTACTACCTGGGAGTGAACACCCACACACCACACAGAAACATGCTCTGGCTCCTCTCCTCTCCTCTCCTCTCCTCACCCGGCTTTAAGTGCGCCTGTCTTTTTATTTACTGCTGGACTATTATTCTTGTACAGACTGTAAAATGTATTATTTTGTACAACTTTATTGAAGAAAAGAAAATAACTTGTAGAAGATCCCTGTGCCTTGATCACGACTGTACGTGCGAAAAAAAAAGAAAAAAAATGAGCTAAACATGTAAGTTATGTTTCACTGCGCTGTACAGCTGGACGGGTCAGATATGCTACGTCCGGACCAGCTCACCCCCCCTCTCCCTCCCCTCACCGCTGCTGTTGCCACCAGCTGAGAAGCGAAGGGGTAAAGTGTACTGTCGGGGAGGAGGCTTTTCGTCTGTTGGTTATTTACATTGTTTTTTTTCCACATTTTGTTTGTTGATTTTTTTTGTTTTGTTTTTTTGCCTTGACTTCTCTCTGGTTTATATAATAGGAATTTTAAAAAGTTTAAAAAAAAAAAGACACCCACCTTAATGCTGTGTAGTGCCAATATTTAAGCCAAACACAATTTAATCTAAGAAAAAAAAAACTGGTATTGTATTTTTAGCTCTAACTCATTAGAGTTGAACGAACATGTCACGTTGGGGATAAATGTATTTATTTTTCTTAAAACTAACTGAACTTTGCATCAAAAACAGCTATACTAGCAATTGGTCCATTTTACCTTTACAGACTCTCCGTTCTACAGCAGCTAAGCTCTGTGGAGGTTATGCTGCGTTTTTGTTTCTGCTCAGTCTGGATCAGTTTGGGTTAATATATGAGAACAACAGGAAGGGGGAAAATATTTATCTAAGGGCTCCTTCCTTGCATTTGTCCATTGGTCCATCTATTAATTGATTTCTGATTCTCTTAGTCCAACCATCAGCCTTTTCTTAAATCTAATAATTTCTCTATTCAGCAAATAATCATCTGTTCTTTCATCCATATATCTCTTCTCATTTATCCAAATACCCATCCATCTGTCATTCCCTCCGTTTATTCGGCTGCTTGTGCACCAATCAATTAAACCTTTGCTCACATTGTTCATCCACCCATTATTCATTCATTCTGTCAATCTTATACTGATCTATCTCGTTCCATTTGTCTCTTGAACGGTCGATTAATATATCGGTAGTTTTACTTTGAAATCGGCTGAATTTAGATGTCCAGACTTGGACAGATGTCAAGCGCCTTAGCGCCTTTTTATGGCTACTGCACATATAATATTCAGTTACAATTTCAACCATGAACCATTTTTTTATAATTAGCATCTCAGTAAAAAAGCAGCACCCTATATACACTGATTTTTGTATTTAAAGTCAGAACATTTAGAGAAATGCAGGTTTTTATTTCTACACGATAACGTCTCACTACTGAGCAATATTTAAACTTGATACCAAAACATGTTCTTCTTTGGTTATTTCCAGATGTGTGTCCAACTAAGACTAGAACTGCATCGATTCGATTTTATTACTATCTCTATTGGTCCTGATATTGAAGAGATTTCTAGAAAATGGGCCGATCCATAGGAGGGAGATGGGTGCTGTCTGTTTCTATTATTTTCAGGATGGAATCTGTCCTGTTAACACAATTGACCCTTTTTATGACTTTCTGACTTTGTGTTTTTCTAATCTCGTCTTGTCTTTCTGGATATATGAGTGTGTTTATCCATGCACTTGTTTGTAGGCAGGAGTTTATGGCAGTCTCTTAAAAGAATCAACATTAATGATATTAAAGCAAAAAGATTTTCTCTGGAATAGTATCAGGATCAGCAGATATCCAAATTCAAGTGCTGCATTGGAACTGAAAAAATAAGGATCGGTGCATTTCTGACACACACACTCAACCAGAGAGCAGCAAAAATGTCAATCATAAATACCCAGGATGGGAAAATCTGAATATGACATAAATCAACATCATAAATACCCCTTTACACACAAACTACATGAATGTTTATAGAAGAGTCAAAGAACAGGCCATCAGTTGATGCTGTTTGTTGTAGCGTGGCTTGATCGTCAACATAATCAAACTTGTAAGGCTGAATCAAATTAAGATGGTATTTAATTTTCTTCTGAAGCTGATGCTATGCTCCAGAGGCTTTAGCTACATACAAACAGGAAGTCTGAATCCGAACTGCTTCAACAAACATTCAGGTTTTATTTTTCAACTTTTAATCTGTCTCATTCTGCACGACTCATTTTGCAGAGATCCTATTGAAATGATCTAGACCCTGTTGCCCCTCACACAAAATGTTTCTAATTTGTCAATAACACAGTTGTCTCCAACTGTCAGTCAAATACATTGCTGGAGGTGCTCAGATCTGAGATGTGAAAGTGCACTGAAATAAATAATACAGCCATTTTTGGCATTTACTTAATCATATTTAGCTACTTTAACACAACTCTTTCATGTTAGCAGGGTAGGACAAAAAACTATTGTGTTAAAGTAACTAAATATGATTAAATAAATGCCAAAGGTGGTTGTATTATTTTTTTGGTGTAGCTGGGCTACATGAGAACACATGATGTAATATAAAACCTTTAGGTTTGGCTATTTTGATCAGAAACTGGTAAATTTTGCACTCAATCCCTAATCAGTCGTATGCAGCCTGGAATTTGACTCCAACATTTTCAAATGGTCTAAAGGTTTTATCCTTCCTTTCTGTCACACCTCTGTGTCTCCACCATGGTGTTCTCCCTCCCCTCTTTCTTTTCTTTCTTTCCTTCCTTTCTTGAATACTTCCCTCTTTTAGTTATGTAGTCCTTGCAAACTTCCTTGTCCTTTCTGCCTTAATTATTTTTGGTCTCATTTGTTCCTTCCCTCCATATGCTACCTTTTCTTTTCCCTTCTTTCAGTCAGTCATCATTCAAAACCTTCCCTTCTGTTAGTAGTTTTTGCAGATTCATCCTCATATTCTGGCCATATTTACAGACATCTGCCGTGAATTCATAATATACTTCATTTTGTATTTTTTGTAACGAACTGAGAACTCTAGAAAGCAGCATAGGTAGGAGCCCTGAGCATACGTTTGCTGTATAATCTTCTCAGCACCTGAACAGCTGTATGCATTAGTTTTTTATGGCAACTGATATTTTATTTATTTCACTTATAGATTTTGTCATTGCTTTGCCTCAGTGTGTTTAACACAAAAGGGAGACTGGGTGGAGAATTGTATTAAGGTACATCGGGTTCATTGGTGTAAATACTTAGCTTATAGCCATTAAATGCATTCAAACCATGGCATGAAGCCTAAATAATCAAGACACCGGAAAAGGTTGGATCCCATGGACTGAAGATCTAGAATAAGTCAAAGCCTTCTCATAAGACGTGCTGTGCTCGATCTGCAGGAGTTTGAGGTGAAACTAATCCTTAAGTAACCCCTTGCACTGCCACATCCAGGGTGTGGAAAATGAGTATCACAACCCATTCAGTCCTGGGTTTATTGTTAGCGTTATATAAAACTGAAGCAGTTTAAATCAATATAAGGGTTTGAGCCACAACGGAAATACATATCAGGGCTCATCTTGCTGGTAAGCCAACATTATTAAGTGGAAAGATATATTTTAATAGAGATACCACTCGGTCAGATTTGATTATAATCAGCCAGTATACAAAGGGAAATGTCTGGCTGTAAACTAGAGGGCGGAAAGTGGGAACTGCTTAATATTACAGCCTCCTGTCAATCAGACAACCAACCAGGATTCTCAGCAGGTAAATCTGACATGATCTACCTTTCAGGAAAATACCTTCTCTACACTTTGAGCTGATCCGACAGCTATTTGGATTATAAATTATGTGTTTATTTAAAAATATAAAGTGTAAAAATATGAGAACATAACTAAAAACGTTAAAGCCCTGTACTTATCTGAGAACAAATCACATGGTAACAGTTTGTCATCCTGCTCTGGGGCTCCTTCCCATCCTGATCATCTGACTTCTCTTCAGGAGCAACTGCAAAAAGAGTGAAGTTACAAAGGGTAAACAAAGCTACTTCAACATACTGATTTTAGCTCACAGTACAAAATCTTTTTAATACATTTTAAATTACAGACTTAGACATATTTTATTTAGTCATTCTGTACACACAAGTTTAAACATAAAGAAATGTTAACTACAGCTCTCTAGACTATTTCATTTTTAAAGTGCAGGTAATCAGCAGTGATAAAAACATTGTGATGAAAAAAGCGACCTGTGTTAAGGAAATTAATTATTAGCTTATATCTAAAAAAAAAATTTTCATGCATATTGTATCGTTTTTTTCTATTTCTATCAAGCGTTCAATCGATACATTTAGCTCATACATTTTAATAGTGTTCTAGTCAGCCGCTCCACAAGAGGGCGCTGTAACACAGAAGCCTCCCCGTAAAAAAAGGTCATCATCATTCATCGCCCCGCCTCCATTTTTCCATGCATTGGCGCGCTCTGTGGCCGTGGCTCTCTGGCTCCGCTCCCACCCCGGTAACTGAACTTTCTATAACGGGCTGAGAGCGCAGACACTGTAGGCATGAGTGCTGCGGGTGACGTTCGGGCCGGCTCGGCTGTCGGACCCGTCCAGCAGGGATTGAAGGAGGCTCTGGTTGAGACGCTAACGGCCATCCTGTCTCCGTTACAAGAAGTGCGCGCCGCCGCTGAGGAGCAGATCAAAGTGCTGGAGGTGACAGAAGGTGAGGGGTAGTCGGGCTATGAACCACAGGAGCGATGTTTAAAGTCGTTTATTAATGCTGACTGCTACCTACATCAGGGTTTATTCCAACCAAGCTAGCAGGAGCCTCAGCAGAACCAGAGTGGGCTGAGGTTTAGCTGATGTAAGGCCATGCAAGCAGAAGTTAGTGAGCTATAGGTTTGTTCGGTGGCTTATAAATGTGGTTCAAGGTTAGGTTTGTTGGTATTCCAGATGCTCTTTGCCTAACAGGACAGAAGGGCCTTCCGCTAGCGCTGTTTATAAGTGGTAACCAATAGCCCTAGCTTAGATGGGGCACATGTGAACCAGCCCGAAGTTGGTGTCAAATTTGTAGGGCCATCAGTTTGTAAAGTTCACAATTTAACTAACTGAGTAAAAGTCCCCAACCCCTAGACTGTGTTAAATTATTTAATGTAAAATCACTCAGTTCTGCGTGTACTTGTTGAAAACTACATAATTCAAACCCGGACATCTTTAAGGTAAAATAAATTCCTCTGTACATTTGATTTTTGACTGATAAAATGTACTTATTCTAATGATATGTCTTATAAAACTAGGCTATGTTCAGGCAGGCAATGTCATTTTACTGTTTTATGACTTCAAAATTGATGTATGGTTTGCTTTATACAAAAATATTTTTTATAATTATATGGCCACTCTCTAGAATGAGCCTGATATAGATTAAAAAAAAATCTATCTTTTTTTTTTCATATTAAAATAACCTTATGGATTATTACAAGTTATTGATGTCAAATAGTTGTTTCTAGCATGTTACCATCTGATATGGTTTAGATCCAGTTTTTAGGAATTTATTTAAGGTTTAACTAATAACAAATCTACTTGGCATTATCTATAGGTAGAGTGGAAGTTTGCATAGCTCGTCAAATATCATTCAGGTTTGTTAAAACAGGTGAAATGTCCCTTTAGTGAAGTGGAGCCCTGAAGCTCTAATCCAGAAGCAAACTTTGCTGTTATCACATGGGAAAATCTCCCGTCTGTTTTAAATATGCTATAAATATTAAAATCTGATCATTTATCATGCATGTCATGTTTTAGCATTAGCTCTGTTTAACCTGTGGAGAGTTTGGGTGATTATTAAATGAAAAGAGGACTCTATGGTCATAAAGTGGCCTGAATTGGCAATCTTTTCCTCTTTAGTGACCAAATCAACTTTTAAGATCCGATTGACAGATTTTCCCGCGAAGTGGGCTTCCAGAGGGGGGGGGGTCCAAATGATCCCGCCTCTAAACCTCCCAGCTTCCTTAGGAGAGCTGAGAAACAGGAGGAAACTACATGGACAGATCAAATGCTTCTGAGCTTGGGGATTTTTTGTAATTATATGTTTTTAAGATGGTTTAAATC